GTTTTCTTTTTGTCAACTTTTAGCCAATACAACTTTTGAGTATTTGCAGTGGAAGTTTCTTTCACTTATTTAAACGATAAAAAATCAAAAAAAATCAACGACTTACATTCCGTTAATATTTATATATCTATTATTCATACAATAGGTAAAAAACGGTTTCGTGCATGAGTTTTTAAGTAAGTTATGTCAAACTGTTAATATTTCAAAGTTAAATATACTGTTGATTTTCATTTGAAATATTGTTTAAACATGTGTTTTGCCAATTTCTGTTTCTTTGTTGGTATATTTGATTGTTTTAATGGTGATTAAGATTATAACAAAAAGTTGACTACTGTACCCCTAATTATTATTAACTATGTCTGCTTTGTTATCACATTATTTTCAGTATAACGGAATTTCATGCGACTGTCATACAAGTGAGAGGTTTAATTGCTAACAAATTAGATTTAATCCACCATTTTTGGCATAAGAACTACATGTACCATGTCAGGAATATAAGCTGTCTGACATATCCGAGTTTCAATAACAAGTGTAATCAATACCAATTGACGTACTGACTAAAAATCAGATGTAATTGTAAAATAGCACCCATAGAACGGGGTTTCACTAGTAGTTATGTGTAATACTAGCAAATCATGATACGTCGCATTCGGTTGCATACGTAAAAGGGTAAACAAAAATATTCCATTGAATTTGACAGCTATAGGAAATTAATCTTATGTAGGTAAAACATTTTTAATCAAAACCACTTATCTTTGGTGTTTCAAGGCACCATTATTTTTTTAAATTGGTGTTTCTACAGAATTATTTTGAAACTTGAGGTTACATGGTTACTACAGCTTGTAAATTGTAATGGTTAACTTCCCGTGATGGTAATTTCATTATATGCCACGAAATATTATGTGAAATTCATCTATGATATTGGACAAGATAACACTTCACAGCCAAGTACTTTTTGAAACAAAGATAAATTTGCATATTTTTAACAAAGATTAATAGGGGAAAATCAATGGTGGTATGACACCTATAGGTTTCCCTTATCTAAAGTAAATATCAATACAAAATGTATACTTCTTTCCGACTGAATGAGCGGCAATGAGAAACTTTTCAATTTTAAAGCCTAAGCTCGGTTTTTAAAATTCTTTCACTGAATAAAGATCAATTATGATGTCATATAATTTTAAATCAAATGTTGTTGATATAAAAGCCGAGTGATTGAGGTTTACAAGTCTTATAAGTTAAATTTAATATAAAGAAAGAATTGCGTTGATGAAAATGGGAGTAAGAATATGGTTTTGTATGTGTGTAATTGCTCACTGCGAACCACTGATATCATGTAAGTATAATTCTGTATCTTATTTTATTATTTCCCTATTTTACCTAGCAAAATCTGAGGCGTTTCGGTTGAAATATATCAAATAGTTGTTTACTTCTGATGTTCTTGAAGTAAAGAAATATTTCTTTTTAAACGAAAATCTACTTGTATATTGCACATATGGGAGATGGATGGATTCTAAGATGTGTTTATAAAAATAAAATTGAGGCTATAAAGACATCATACCTATTTTTTTTCAATTCCTTATCCCCACCATTCTGTGTAATTACTTGGGTATATTCCGAAGTTTAAACCAAAAATGCATTTCATGTCCTAAAAAACAAACCACATGAAGTTTTCTAAACAATAATGCACGTGTGGTTTGTGCAAAGCATATCCCTAGTTGTCTTTTGATGTATCTGAATACAAGAAGTAGTTTCTGACATACAAGTAAAATGTACACACGTTACAGACTTTCACTGTTTAGTAATTAATAAAGTATAACATCGTCATACATAATATTATATAGTTGAGTGAATTTATTTTGATATTGGTCATCATATCGAAATATTTAAGATATCGTCAAAAGGTGTTTGATCTACCTATTAAATATAAAGATAAAGTGTCTTTTTGATTTAATGAAAAGTGTAGTCAACATATTTGTTAGACAGAAGTACCAACAACATAATAGTGTAATTGTAATATAACACATGTTCATAGACCTTGGGTAAACGGGTTGTTTTTTTTATCTAACGTTAATGTTGATACCGATTATTTTTAACTTTCAAACTAAATGAGCAAATATAAATTGACCAATTGTATAGCCTAAGACCGGTTTTTAAACTTCATTTGTGTACAATCTCTTTAATTGAAGGAACATATGAATTATCATGTCAGTACTTAAAAACCATATTTTGTTGATAAAAAAGCCAGATAATTGATGTTTACACGTTTTTTAAGTGACATTATGTATGATGAAATCCTTGCACTGACGAACATGAGAGTAAGACATTGTTTTTTTTTTAGTGTAGTACCCCACTGCGTATCATTGACATCGTATATGTATAATTATATACATGTAGTATATTGTATTAGTCTAATGTTCTATATTCTATATTTTGAAAAGTCATACCAATATCCACCAACATTTTGAATTAGGTAGATGTAAGCAACTGTACGGCTTTCTACAATAAACAAAATGCTGTATAGTCATCTGTAAAAGACATCGACATTAATCGATGAAACATATCAAATGAGAAATATAATTGTATAATGTATTACATAATACTTTACTTAGAACAACTATGATAGACATGATTCAACTGCAAACACTGAGCTACATGATCCTGCCTTTCGACAGTCATATAGAGTGTCGGGTTTGTGTAATCACTTTTGTTGAAAACATATTTCTTCCTTTCTGCTATCTATTTTTCTTGGAGTAAAGTTATTTTCCCATAACCCTACATTATTTCCACGTTGCATTACGTGAAAGATACATTAAACTCTATATGCATGATACTAATTAGATCTTCATGTACTAGCCGAGATAAGTAAACCATACATCATACTTCAGATTCGTGCGTACAGATAGATTCAAATATGTGTGAATCATCAACAGCTTATTAGATATCTCATATTGTTTATTGTCAATGATATATAATGATTACAACAACGGTACTGACATTATTAAGCCACAGTTTTATTACAAAACTACATAATTTAGCACACATCTCACTAGATAACTAGACATATAATTAAGATATACATAGTATATATAACTAAACACACGTATTCATCCCTCATGTTGACAAACTACAAAACGATAACTCGACAACAAACATTTGCAACCCATGGAGCATTCAATTAAATTGATTCTTGGAATCACAGATTCTTTAGGTGTGTGAGTTGGTCCTGGGATACAACATGCCAAATGGATGCTTAAAGAAATATGACACATTTTTAACGCAAACTCAACAAATGTGCCATGAACAAATATTTAGTGCGGACACTTTATAGAAACAGGCACATACAAGCATTGTGATACAAATTAAAGTTACAGTTTACTAGATTTCATTATTTATTACAATACAGTATATAGATAGCACACACGTTGCGAAGTGTTGGTACAGATATTTTGGCAAACACCGGTGCACGGTAGAAAATTAACTAGATGCTCTTCATTAACTTTTAATATGACGATTTACAATATGGTTTGTACGAGGATAGTTCTGGAAATATAAATAAGAGACACAACTCTTAGATGTTTGTATATTATAATAGTTTGTGCTAGAAATAAGTATGGGAGGTTGGGATTCAAATCATTAAATTATATCGTTTCTTCAAAATGTAGGAATGAAAAAGGTTGCATTAATATTATTCATTGTCTGTCATATAACTGATAGCCTATTATATGACCTGAAGTTGTCAAAGATGCAAATATGCTTACACAATTAACCAAACTTATGCTTTATCATAAAATCTATAAATGCATGTTGCACGTACGCACAAGATATTATGTTTATTTTCAACAATCATTAAATGAGTCAATACCAACATTTTTATGAAACAGGATATTTTTATGTTTGTTTCGTCTCGGGTTATCCTTACTTGTTGAGAAGTTAGCAACATGCATTTCTTTATCACGCGATTTTCTTTTTGGACAGTTATTAAGAAGTGTCAGAGTTTAAATATTAATCTCCAGCATATTAACAATGTTTGTAAAATGAAAGATCTTTTATGTAAACATAATTTGATATGTTAACACAATATCACCATATTTATATAAAGAGTATAAAATTACTTTGCAGATTGTTCTGTTCTTTTGTATGTGCGCAAAATCGTCATCCAATTTTGATCTCAAGAAGTCAAATGATTGGAAAATGAAACTTTATAATTTAAATTATGCAATCCGAATTCAAATTAAAAACTATCGTCTTATGAGCCGAAGTGTAAATTTCAATTGGTCAATCATATGTCCGGGTGTTTTTTTAATATGTCGATCAAAGATATTGCAAGTCATTTGTTAACCAAACATACGCTAACTCTACGCATTATGGTCATTGTTTTACAATATTTAAATCAGTCATCAAAAATGTAAATTAAAGAACAGAATATATTTAGATGTGTTTTTGCTCATGCCAGGTTTATTAAATTGGTGTGACATTTAACATGCATTGTATCCCTGACGATTTTCTTTGTCAAAACGGACGGAGAAGTGTCAGTGTTTAAATATGAGTATAAACCATTATATTAGTATCTGTAAAACATGTAAAAAGAAAGAGCTGACATGTAAAATAATTTGATATTTAAACATTGTACTACCTTAATTTATATAAAAAGAGAATGAAATGACTTTATAAATTATTCTGTTCTCAAATATATACGAAACTTGTGATTTCATTGTGATCGTTAGAAGTAAAACGGTTTGAATATAACACTATTTAATCTAAATAACCTAATTGTAATTGAAATGAAATATTATCGTTTGATTAATTAAAAATACGCATTGTCATAATAAGTCTTCATTTTAAATCATTTTGTATCAGTAAGTAAATGTCAATAAGTTCTATATACACTGTGCGTGGATTGAATATCCTGGTGATATGTAACAGACCAGAAAAAAAAAACACCCGGGGGAAAGATACGCTTAAGTAAACACAATATTTCGTCTATATTAAAACCGGAAGATTCACGTTTAAAAATTCAGTCGAATAAAGGTTGAAACAAACCTAATTCTGATTGAAATGGAAGTAGAAGTTGTGTTTTGTTTGTGTGTTTTACTGCATTGCATACTACTGGCATCGTGTGAGTATTCTATTATACTGTAATATTTTCGCAAGCTAAATATATAGAAATTTAAACACACATAATTGTAGAATAAACGATGGTTTATAGTTGATCGTTATCAATAGTTATAAATTTTAATATTACGTAATAGAACTCGACATTTTATTGAATTTACCAAAAAGGTCTAATATATATCTAAATTTGACGACAACGATAATGACATACAAATAAAGAATCAACGCAGGAACACAATCAATTATTTAAATATTTATAAAGTAGCTCAGCATTCAAATACACGATGCAAAACTGCGTCATTAGTTTGTATCGGTTGTTTTGATCTAGTTTATTATGCGTTATATAGATATAAGAAGATTTGTTTTAATTTGTCTTTAAACTTAATTTGTCTTTAAACTTAACACAATTATACGGCTGCTGAACCACGCAACATTCCCAATGTGTGTTTCCGTTTTTGTTACGTTTTTCATTCAGTCCGTTTGCATGTTTCGTTCCTTTTGGCTGCGTTTATATCGTGTTTTATTCCATTCATAAACGAAATCGACTAATTAAAAGCATGTTGTGCTGTTAACATGTTGCATTTACCATTTAACGAATGAACGTTCACAGCATGTGCAACGATAGTATTATAATTATAAAACGAAAGATGATTCATTTTGTTTCACATACAGTTTTTTCTTTCGTCTTCTATAATCACAACATCAAGCGATTGTGTTCTTAAAAAAACCCTCAAACACTGGCGACCATCATAATGTTGTACATGCATTTAGATACGAAAGCAAAAATGCGAAGCGGTAACATTATGTACGAAATAGTTGTCTCTAACCTATTAGAATGTCTATTACCAATACATTCTGTGCAACTGTGTTGTTATAAGTCAATTTACAACCACCGGGTCAATGCCACTGCTAAAGGTATCACCAGTCCAGTAGTCTGAACTTAAGTGGTGACATACAGTATCATGGTCATACTTATAAATGTGCATTTACTGTTTAAAACAACTTTTTTCTCGAAATACAATCATGTAGCATATTTACCTGACGACATCGGGATATTGGTATTAAGTCAAATCTTAACAAGAATTTGTGATATATACGAGAAATCAAAAATGGATAAAAATGTAAACATTGTCAACTGTTAAAACTTCAACTAAATATTTATTTGGGTAAGTTGATGCAAGCATACCAAATGTATTATGTCTTATACTTTTAGAGGTTTATAATGTTTAACAACCATATAATATCAATGTGTAAACACGTTTTTTCAGAGCTTTGGAAATTAAGTAGTGTGTGCATTTTTCGAGTAGGTTTAATGAATTAATTAATTAACAAATCTATTTCACTGTGGGTTAGCATTCATTAGCTATCGTTATCCCATAGACCTACAACTGTTGGTTCTATTGATAATTCATAGTCGTCATTGAAGGTGACCCCCAAGGGTGACTGGGGAATAGAAGTATGGTCACCATTGGTCTTCCTCCGACCGGCAGTAAAACCCGTGCTAAAGTGGGGCGTCCGTTTTGGCTGTGCGGGATGTACAAATTTGCAGCCACGTCCGGTCAGAATGGGGACGTTAAATCCGATGCCTCGTGTAAAGAGAGTGCCACGTTCTTTGCACGTTAAGAACCCTTGCAACAACTCTTTGAGGGGTCCGTAGGTGACCTGTTGCAAGGCTAAATTTTTGTTCCTATCCAATATACCCTCGTTTCCCGTGGTAGTCTAAATTTCTCCGACATTAATCCCTTAATCTATTACAGAACCTACCTATTGTATTTATTGTGAACTTGTTCTCGTCCTGAATATGCATGAAATATTTGCCACTGGACGTTAAGCAACCAACAATCAATCAATCAATCATTGAAGGTGGAGCAGGAATTTTGTAATAATTAATTCTTTTGGTGTGTCATATAGGTATGCAAGAGTTACATTCCTTTGTACTATGTTCTATTCCAAAAATTCAATGCGTTGATTACCTACCTTAAACAGAGTCATAATTTCATCTTTAAATAAAGTTATTTTATTGAATCTTTTAAAAATCGTTGCAAAATCTATAAATGTACTAGATCTTATTATTTTTTATTGGTTTATTAAAGACATTTATGTATATCTATAATTTTCCTGATTTGTTTTGAAATAATTACAATTTATATATACCAACATAAAGAATTATTTTATTATCTTATAAGTATTATGTTGATACTTCAAAATATACCGACCGTGCAAGACCGTCATGGGTGTGCAAGGTCGTTCAGATCTACCCTCATCGTCATTAACTTCCTTAGTGTAATGAGGCAAATTATTCTGAAATTACATATATAGTTTATTCGTCCAAGTGTCAAGTAATCGTTAAATTGTTCTCCTAAAAAGCCGTGTTCTGGTAATAATTAAAAAAAAAGTTGTATATGTACTTTAAATTTGAGGTACAATATGCAGGTTAATAACACATGTTTCATTCGGCCGTCAATAATACACTGTTTCAAGTTGTGGTATGCATCAAATAATCTCCAACAGCATTGATCCTGCTTCTTGTAAAAGCATTTGTTGCTTTCATATGGTGTATACAATTATATCAGAACTCAAAGGAGGCAGACAATTATCTACATTACTCAATCCATAAAGACAAATACACGAAAGAAGTGTAACCCCCCCCCCCCCCCCCCCCCCCCCCCCCCCAACACACACACATACGCACCAACACAAAAACAGAACACTATATCAACCACTTTAATCCTGAACTTCAAACGTATGCAAACTGCTTAAGTGAAAAATTATAATTGAATTTTTAACTATTTTGAAAAAGACTATAAATGAAAACATAATTATATTATCTCCCCATAATGATAGATTGTTGGGAAAACTAACCAAAATTATCTTACATTAATCACAAAGAGGGGCTACCAAACAATATTTATTGATAGCTCAATTAACGTTAACACATTTTTTCCACTAAAAATGATTGAAAGTTTATTTAAATATAAGGACTTTGTTAGCTAAATCTACTAATTTTATTGGATATTATGAATTTTTATGACAATAGATAAACATGCTATACTAGGATTGTCTACATTATAAATGAACCACCTTATCTTTATTTGACAAAACCTTTCGAAATGCTAGGTGCTCAATGCTCGCAAACTTCGTTCTTAATTTTGTATTTTAGCTATCTATTCGAACGTCACTAATGAGTGTAAAGTACACGAAACGCGCATTTTGCGTACAATGTTTTACTACTAGTACATAATACGAGTTTATTATATTATCAGATGAATATATTTTGCACCAGTTCACCAAATGTGGTCACTATCTCTACACACACATATAGAATAATTGTTTTATGAACAATTTGAGGTTCGACAAAAGAATTATTCGTTAGATAGACAAAAATTATGTCCGCAGTGAAAGATGGTGCTCAGAAATGCTATGGAAATGTTAACTTGCGTAGTGGTATTAACCATTTGTGGAATATAAAACAAACTCTGGGTACTTTTAAATCTCGATCTTTCTCTGAAATTAGTTCTATCAAAACATTTAATTTTTTAACCCTAATTACCACCATTTATCATATGAAATTAAAAATCAATGCTTTTTAACATAACATTGGTAGCACACGCTGTAAATGAATTAATTTTGGAAAAAATACAATATTTTTTGTAAATATTGAAAAAAAAGGTTAAACATGCTACAAAGAGTAACACATGATCAGTATGCTGGAGTATCTTAATGGCAAAATAGTTGAACTGTTGAACTGTGCGCCTCCCCTTGCCAACCTGTTATTTTGTTCACATGGGTCGGAGTTCAGACATTTGTCAAAAACAAAAAGATCAAAGAAGCCATATCATTTAATTTCACATTCAAATATATTGATGCTATTCTTTCCAATGACAATTTTTCTGAAGGGGTTAGCTTAATATATCCTCCAGAGCTAGAAACAACATACACAGCTTCTTCTGTCTTATTTTCAGACTGATACCTCGAACATGACATACGCGGTCATCTCAGAACCAGAATCTTTGACAAACGAAACGATTTTAATTTTGAAATTGTCAATTTCCCCGAAGTTAGTACCAATATACCAACTTCCCTTGCATATAGGATATACATGTTCTAACTAATTCAGTATTCAAGAGCTTGCAACTGCTACTAAGACTTTGAAGAACGTCACCAGAGTCCAAGCCCAATGTTGCTGAGACAGGGGTATGTCAAAGAACTCTCGTCCTTTTTCGTAAAAAGTTCATCGGAATATACCAAGACCTAGTTGATAAATATTCCGTATCAACTTCACAACTAATACACGACGGTCTTGAAGTATAGATTCTAGACACTGACGTTTTTTATCATCTTAATAACGTGTTATAATATTATTTTATTTGTCTTTGTGACTGTTTAGTTTATTGTTAGTAATATTCATTCACGTGGCTCGGTATTTATACATCCTGTCATTGAGTTCTTATAAAACTTTGTATTTGTCATTTCTGCTAATGTGCTCTGTATATATGCCTTTTTGTGTTTCTTTGTTGACATGTGTTTTGTTTTTATATTGATCAGGATTATAACACAATGTTGACTGTTTTATCCCTATTTTTGACATTTTTACCTATTTCGTGTGTTTGTTTTGTTCGCACATCATTGTCAATTTAATGGAATTTAATGCGACTGTCATACCAGTAAGAGGTTCAGCTAGCTTAACCATGTTTAACCCACCTCTTTCTACATACGAACATGTCTGTACCAAGCCAGGAATATGATAGTTGTTATCCTTTCGTTTGATATGTCTGAATGTTTGATTTTGCCATTTCATTAGGGACTTTTCGTTTTGAATTTTCCTCAGAGTTCTATGTTTTACTTTTGGCTACTGAATTTAATTTCAAAACCAGTCGTGTAAGAGTTTACTTCGTTTTGAATAACAACAATTGTACCAAACCTGTTTTACCGTTAACTCTAGGCTGGTCTGCTCCACATTAAGTTGTATTATAACAAATAGTTAAATGTTTTTGTTTCGCAGTATACACATACCTGTTTATAAAGAGTGCATGAATTATAAAACAAATATGTTATATTTGTCCCTTAAAAATCGGAACTCTATTGATAGCAAGGTAACCCATTTAAAAACAAACAGTTTCAATTCATTATACTTTATGACTTATTGTTATATGATAATTTTTTTATTCTTTTCTTTTATTTTTGTCATTATGCTTTATCTATGTGCCTATTGGTGTTTCTTTGTTACAATGACTTGGTCATGTTAGTACTGTACTTATACATCCCGTCATTTTTCTATGATAATGTTTGTATTCTTGTCTTTCATATTTGCTGGTGTTCTTTGTATGCCTTTTTTTCTTTCTTTGTTACCTATGACTTGGCTTTGAAACAAAAGCATCGCGTCATTGTGTTATTTTGCCATGGTAAATGTATGTTTTGGTAGTGATTAAGATGATAACACAATGTTGACTGCTGTACCCCTATATGTTACATGCATACCTAATGTGTCTGTTTGTTTTGGTCACCCATCGTTGTCAATATAATGTAGTTTTATGCGTTTGTTTTACAAGTGAAAGGTTTTAGATAGCTATAAAACCAGGTTTAATGCACCATTTTCTACATAAGAAAATGCCTATACCAAGTCAGGAATATGACAGTTGTTATCCGTTCATTTGATGGTTTGAGATTTTGATTTTGCCATTTGATAAGGAACTTTCCGTTTAGAAATTATAGTTCAGTATTTTTGTGATATTACTGTTAACGTGCATCGTACATGAATACACGTAATTGACATTTTTTGCATAAAAAAGAGAGTTGTCTCATTGGCACTCATACCACATCTTCTTATATCTATTAATAGAACGGCATGAGCGCTGAAACAAATGCCATATATATAAGAAGAAGTGGTATGAGCGCCAAAGGGACAACTCTCCATCAAAGTCACAGTTTTTAAAAGTAAACCAAACAATAGCTGTTGAAAGCCGTACGGTGACCTAATGTTGTTAATTTCTATGTCAGTTGGTCTCTTGTGGAGAATTGACTCATTGGCAATCATACCACATCTTCCTTTATATATTAGATTTGTGTATATATACTTAGCACTGCTTCTTTTGTTTAGAAATACTGAATTATAGCATATGGGTTACTAGGGGGAAAAGTGAATTTTTCCTTCATGTGGAAACATTAAACGATATAATAGGTTAACATTCAATGATATAATTACTTTTCATAAATACTTTGTTTTTGTAAAATGTGTTTCAATGATGCCAATAGTTCTCCATATATCCCTATTTATTTGGAGTGGCTATTCAATAATTCTACAAGTCAACTTAAGATAAAACTACTTCTAATCGAAGAAACGTTATCCTTATGATTATAACAACTGCCATAGTGTTGTATTAGTGAATCAGTAATACGTATCTGAACATAAATATATTGTTTGAATCCCAACTGTAAGGTAGCTGGGCTGTCTAAATGATATACAATAGAGTTTTCCTAAATTCTGCAAAAAACGTATGGGTCAATGTACTTTCAAATTTCAATATTGATATGGGGTGGTCATGGACCTTGTTATTTCGTTTAAAAATATTGAATAATAGTATATGGGTTATAAAGCGGAAATGTTTTCCCTTATTGTAGAAACATTAAACGATGTAATAGGTTAATTTTCAGTGACATATTTGCTTTGAAAAATATTTTCAAAATATCAAATAAAAATAGAGGGTTACAGACCATATCTTCTAGAAAAATACTGTTTAAATGCATGCATATTAGTCGGTCGTAAATATTAAGATTTTTAACTATTTAAATAATATAAAGTGATCGCGAGTATATACAAATGCCGGATATTGTCATGGTTAAACACCATTTAGTGTTTTGTGTTATTGATTTTAATGAAAAAATTGAGTTCTCATCGTTTCAGTTTTTTGTTTCAGCTTATCAAGGCACTTGTATTCAAACCCCACGTCAATTATGGAATTTGATATTGGTACACGCAATGTTACTGTACTGGTAGAGCAAAGAAGTCACGTGTATGCGATGGAATATGATTTCAAACACAGATTCATCTATTTTCCAAGACATAGTAGAAAAGATATCGTTCGGTATGTAAACAATAAGCATTGTAGAAGTAAATATGACCCATCCTCGAGAATCTAAGTTAAAGAACGTGTCAGATATTTAAACCATTAGATAACTGGATGCAAAGTAATACTAAATAAATTCAAAGAAAAGATTAAAGCGAATTTAATTAAACATTTATTTTGGCAAATTATTACAATTTCATATGAAAAAACAATAATAGACGTTAAAGGTAATTCAATCAATGTTCAGCTCCAACAAAAAAAAAAAAAAAAAAAAACAACGGCCAAACAGTAAACAAAGCACATTGATTGATACTAAACAAAATTCAAAACTATTTAGTCAAAGGGCTCATTTAAAGCCATGTTTCACCTTATACAAAGAAAAAAATGAAAACAATATTAATGACATGAATGGTCAGAAATCAGAAAATATCGTTGACATGAATGGTCAGATATTTCTAACAAAGATATGAATATCCCGACATGAATGGTCAAATATAAAAAAAAATACTATTGACATGAATGGTCAGATCTTTCTGTACCGCAAGCACATATACACAAAATTGGTACAGAATAAGATTGCTCCTTCTGTTTAACAGTACTAAGATGAGACTAAACATCCATTTGTGTAACAATGGTCCAATATAGCTCCACTGGAAGGAATGAAAGAAAAGAAGTCCACGAGAGGACATGTTGTGGAGCTATACTATTGAAGATGAACTTCATGTCCTTTTAAATACCCATTATAGACAAACCATGATACATTAAGCTAAACATTTTAACTTATAAATATCAAATAGCGAAAAATTCATATTTTTATTTAATAACGACAATGTTGCTGCAATTAAATCAGATACCTCGTGTAGGGAAAATGTCTCTTTCTCTGCGCATTAAAATCTTTGTATAGCACTTCACTCTTTCATGGTGCCATAAGTTGTATTTTTTAATGCAACATTTTTTTTTTTTATATTTCCACACATTTTATTTAAAACGGCATCGTATTACATAACGGAGATTGAAGTAGTTTCTTATTGATGTCATAAAAAAATTGGTCTTTACTCGCTCTTATTTGTTTTTTACATGAAAATCCCAACTAATGTTATTTCCAGATTCCTGAATAGCTGTAAAAATGTAGGCCCAATCCTAAATTCCCGGTATGATAACAGATTAATTTGTAGAACCTATCTACAGAATATGAATGGTCAAGATGACGTCGTTCAAATAATGCATGAAATATTTGGCACTGGACGTTATGACTCTTGATCGTGTGACTTTAGTGATGCTGGAAACCTAAAATTAAAAAAAACCTGATAACCCGTTTGTGATTTGAAGAGCTTTTAAAGTATTAGAACTGTTGACAAAAGGGAAGTCAATTCTGATAAAGCTCGCCGTGCAATATTCAGATTAATATAAAAGGCATCATCGGCGTTTATAAATACAAAATACTTTATACTTTATATAGTACACGATTAATTCAACTCTAGAGCTATTTGTATGTTCGCTCTAAATGAGTATGAAATACTTGCAACTGGACAATAAGCAATTTTAGTCAAAAGTTAATTCATATTTAGAGATTAAATTTGCAATTATGATAATCATTAAAAACCGGCATTTAACTAACTAATTCTAGTAAATGACAACTTCATCACCTGTGTTCCCATCATAAAATTGCCGTTAACGTTATCGATTTCATTTAGGACATGCACAGTTTGCTGATAAATGGGTGTCAAAATGTATTGAGCAAAAACTCAAAGACCAGTTTCAACAAGAATACTTTGCATTTGTTGCAGAATCACCTAAAACTTTATTGTATCGTATTTTTAAAAATAACTTCCAATTTGAAAAATATTTTTCTGTTTTACCTTACAAATTCATTTATACAGTATTCAAATAAAGATGTGGTAGTCAAAACTTGCCGATTGAGTCTGGAAGGTGGCAGGGTTTACCGAGAGAAGACAGAATATGCCGTCTCTGTGACTCAAACGACATTGGTGACGAGTACCATTATATTATGAATTGTGGCTCTTTTAAGTTTGAAAGAAAGAAATGTTTACCTACATACTGTTGGTCAAACCCTAATATCTATAAATTTGATCAACTGGTTAATTCATCTAATATTGTAATATTAGAAAAACTATGTAAATTTATCAAAGTTATAAATGTGAAAGTCAGTCCTCCAAGTTTATTTCATTGTATTGTTCACACATGCTTGTAATAATTGTACTTTAGAGTTATATTTATGTATGTTCTCTATAACTATGTAATTGTAGTTTTATGAGAAATAAAGTATTCGTATTCGTATTCGTCACAGAGAATCAATGCTTACATAAATAGAGTAAAATAGCGTAAATACATGTATTAGCGCTAAAAGACGTGAGACTTTTTGACGTTAAATAGTGGACACGTTTCGGCGAATAACAAATATCGTACACGTTTTGGGAATAATGAATATTACAGACACGTTTGGGGAGAATAGACACGTTTGGGGGAATCGGACACGTTTGGGAGTGTTACATATATATTAATGAAAATTCCTTTAAATAACCAGTCACGCAACAATTCATGCTAAGGGTTAAATGGATGTTCATATTAATACGGATTCAATGAGGTCGAATTGTTCACTTGCAAGTGAATTATTCAGCATCAATGTTTCTTGGCTTAATTAAACAAAACTGAACCACATTAGCTGCTAAAAGCGAATTATTATTTCACCAGTTCACTTTTATTATTGATTGAACAATAACAAATCGTACTTAAGATTTTTGTATGAATCTCGTAGCTAGTGCCCCTTAAAGAGTTTTCATTAGTATGCAATCAATGTGCCTTGATTTTACATTATATTTCGCAGAATTTCATTTTATTTTGTTTTTATACATATTTTAAGCTCTGGTGCATTAATCTATTTTTGTATGCATTATAATAGGAAAAAAACAGTTCTGTGTTTTTCTAAATTTCAATTTGAACACAGCAAAATCGACATAGTGTTTGCACATATGATGCGATACATGATGATTTACTAGGGAGGTAAATAGTAGCAGCCACCAATATGCACATCTTTGATTCTGCGCTAAGTATAGATATATCGATTTATCACGGTGTTGTTTACAAGACAAAAGAAGCACGTTTTATTTTAATAAGTATTTAACTCTGCAAATCCTTATGGGTTTGTTTAGTGCCTACACCTTCTTTCATTCATCTTTTTAAGATCTTTGTCTTGACATACTTAAACTTTTATTGAATAAGATAGTCAATTAACTTCAGTTAAAACTTTTTTTTGTTAATAACATTTCCAAACTCACCTTTATTAAGGACGTTCACATTGTTCACGTTCAGAAATGCAGATGTGAACGCGACATAGGCATTAAGTATTCACAGTAACGCCTAAACATTCAACCAATATACGTAATATTGTCTGAATTTACGATTGATTGCATATTATTAACATGTTATTGCTGGTGCCATCGGGCTGTTGAATAAAATCGAGTAATTGCAAGGCCACTTGAAAGATAATCGAGATTTATTACAAGAGCTTTTCTCCGAAATCATGAAACAGCGTTTACGGTTGTTATTTTGCTTTAAAGAAAAGTGTATATAATTTTGTTTACATAAGAGTTTCAATACTGATATAAATTACTGATATTCGACAGATTTATACTCAATTCACAATAGCATGACGTTCATTTTTTGGAAAGAAATAAAAATAGTTATTATCTAGATAAAGACTGTGTTTACATGATGAATTGAAGCTATTCAACAGGGACAATGTTAATGTTTGCTGTTGTTGTACATTCTAAAAGTTGAGAGATAAACACTAAAAAGGAACCAATCAATTCATTCTGCAAAGCAGCCCAGTTGTGTCTCCTATGGTATACAATGTATCAATGAGGCCACACAATAGGCTTTCCAAAATGTACATTTAAGAACACTTACAATGCAATTTTCTTCAGAGTTTTCATTTCTGAGAAACAGTTCCTGTACACATATTTAATTAGTGCTGATGTAAGAAAGTCGTCTTAGACATCAGTAATAAATCTTCAGTATAAGTTTCATCATAGTCCTGATGCAAACTTGAAAGCACTTACGATGAACCTCTCCATGTAACTATATTTTCAAGTGGGGTAGTTCCTTGACAATAGTTGCTTGGCACTGACTTTCTAATTTGTCCAAGACATTACTTATACAAATATGATTTTCATAAAAAAAAAAACTTTTGGAAGAAATGTTCGCGTAACAGCGCTAACAAGACCAGACAGATGATTTAAACTTTATTAATACTAAATTTAAGACCGAAAATTACAGGTATTCATTCATGTATAGACATGTATTACTGGGTGTCCTCGACAATTAAAACAATCTAAGTCTGAAAGCTTTTTATCTGATGGGCAAAACATACTTGTGTTAAAAAGAACCATATGTGTTTTGTATGTAAATATCACTCGTTTAGGGCAGTGAATACGTGTAATTAATCAACAAAATCGAAAACTGCGGTTAAAGATACCTGAACATATATTATTAATTCGGTTAAATGTTCTAACCCAGACACCACACATTATACAAATTACAAATGTTTGCTATCTTTATTAGAGCACTTTCAATCCTGTCTTCGTTCAACATTATCAAATGTATTCTCTCCAACGTTTCATAATTATTCCTCATTCTTCACTTATGCATATATTACGAAAAGTCCCTGGCAGATTGTCGGTTTAGAAAGCCTCAACTGTCATATATTACGAAACGTTATGCTAAAGCTAAATATGTTAAGACAGCGTGATGATGGATTGAGTCATCAAAATGCTAACTCTAAATTGCAACATGCTAAGTTGAGTATGCGTTATGTTCACTTCCAATGACAATGGCTTTAGCTATAGTAGTATAATAGTAAGTCACTATGCTATGTTTATGTTTAGAAAATGATTTTATTTACATAAAATCCCACTATTACAAACTCAATACCAATTTTATATTCTTGCACGTGTCTACAATAAAACTAATTTGCTCTATTTTTCGAAATGTACCTGTGA